GGAAACTGTGCTGAGCAGCTCAAATAGGCAAGCCCCATGAAAAAGCCTTACTTTTGCGAAATAGGGTTTCACGATTGTGGATCAGTCGGTAAGGAAACGCCCTTCTCACTTAAGCACTCCCGACCCGTGCGCAACGTACACGCGCGCGCGCACGCAACGTGGGAAAAGAGAAAAAGTTTGCAGAGGGTGGGGTCGAGCCTGAGCCTCGTGCTACGACGGTTGCGGTGTTTCCAACTAGGCCGCTCGCACGTCGATTTGGTAATTTGGGTCCCTAGTTCTAAACCTTAAAACAAACCCTTTTGGGCAAAAATTGGGATTCACAACGGTTGATTGGTTCGCCGCCGTTTTGGCCTGGTTTCCCAACCTACCAAGGCCTAGTAAGTAAAGATCATGAACCGCACAGCTCTAAAAGGCAAGCCCCCTGAAACGACCCTATTTCGGCGAAATAGGGCTTCACGACTGTGGATTGGTTTGCAACCTTCTTGCTGTTGTCTCGGGCCCTAGCCATCCCCACTAGGCATGGAAACTGCGCTGAAGCCCCATGAAACGACCCTATCTCGGCGAAATAGGGTTTCACGACTGTGGATTGGTTTGCAGCCTTGTTGATGTTGTCTCGGGCCCTAGCCAGCCCTACTAGGCATGGAAACTGTACTGAGCAGCTCAAACAGGCAAGCCCCATGAAACAACCCTATCTCGGCGAAATAGGGTTTCACGGCTGTGGATTGGTTTGCAGCCTTGTTGATGTTGTCTCGGGCCCTGAAACTGTGCTGAGCAGCTCAAATAGGCAAGCCCCATGAAAAAGCCCCATTTTGGCGAAATAGGGTTTCACGACTGTGGATTGGTTTGCGGCCTTGTTGATGTTGTCTTAGGCATGGAAACTGTGCTGAGCGGCTCAAGTAGGCAAGCCCCATGAAGCAACCCTATTTTTGCGAAATAGGGTTTCAGGACTGTGGATTGGTTTCCACCCTTGTTGATGTTGTCTCGGGCCCTAGCCAGCCCCACTAGGCATGGAAACTGTGCTGAGCAGCTCAAACAGGCAAGCCCCATGAAACAACCCTATTTTTGCGAAATTGGGTTTCACGACTGTGGATTGGTTTGCAGCCTTGTTGATGTTGTCTCAGGCCCTAGCCAGCCCCACTAGGTCAGGAAACTGCGCCTTGCAGCTCAATTAAACATAGACCACCCCCCCCTCAAGAGAACACTTTTTTTTCAAAGGCTTTGGAGCCACCCACCCGCTCACTCGTGCCAGCCAAGCACAAGCAAACCCCGATCAGCCACGTCCCTCCCAAGGGGTGCGTGTGCTGGTTGGGGGTCAAGAAGACAGATAGACAGACAGACAGACAGAGAGACAGAGAGACAGCCCACCCAGCCAGCCTGCCAGGAGCCAGGCAGGCAGACGAGGTGACTGAAATTATTCAAATTAAACGAGGCGAGGTGAATAATTTCAAAACATTGAATTAAGACGAGGTACGAGGTGAACGAAATTAATGAAATTAGTTTAATTCACCCAGATCCACGTCTTGATCGCGTCTCCGCGTGTGTCTCCGCATCTCTGGCAGGACAAGACTGGATGAACGCCGAGCTCCTGGAAGCGGCGCTGAAGTCCGGGGCCGTGAAGGAGGCGCAGGTGGACGATTCGGTGCGGCGGATTTTGACGCAGCTCTATGCCATTGGAAACATGGAGGTAATACGAGGCAATGGTCTTTAGATGGGATATGTTGATTCAACCATGGTTTTTCCGTTTCACACGGAAAAAAGCAACAGCATTTGTTTTTGAACATGCACAAGGTTGTGTTAAGCTATTGTGTTTGTTGGCTTGGTCTCCCCACGAAAAACCAGGTAGAACAATTCAACCCAAAGACACGTATACCATGCTATAGATGTGATTTTTTTTTTTTCGGCGCTTGGTCCTATGTCCTTGTGGTTCAATCGAGTTCACCGAGGAGTGATGGATGAGCCGTTGGGCACGTGGGACTGGCGCAACCGCCTGCGCAACGTGACCACAGCCGCCTCGGTCGCGTCGGCGCGAAAGCTCAGCGGCTTGGGCACGGTGCTGCTGCGCAACGAGGGACAGCTGTTGCCCTTGCGAAAGACGCCCGGAAAGGTCATTGATTCGATTTTTTGATCAGGTGGGTTCTTTTGAATTACCGCCCTTTTTTGCCTGATCAGATCTTCTTGTGCGGGGGTGGGAAGGCACCTGATTGATCCTGATTGAGTTATTCTTCAGGGGATTTCTTGGGAATTGCGTATCCAAGGACTGGCCAGCGCGTTGCAGTCATCGGCCTGGCGGATGAGAAGGCCATTTATCATGCTGGTGGGTCTGGTAGCGTGGAGCCCTCGTTTGTGTCAACGCCCTTGCAGGGCATCACCGATGCAGCGAAAGCCTTAGGGAGCCAGGTCACCTTCGATGATGGCAGCTGCGCCCTGCGCGCGGCAGCCTTGGCGAAGACGAGCGATGTGGTCTTGGTCTTCGTGGGGACTCTGTCGGCGGAAGGCGACCGACATGGGGTGACGGTGCGGTTTGGCTGGGCTTGGCTGGACCCTCCTGTGGTCAAACGGATGAGTTGAACGTTGCCCAGAATCTTCTACTCGTAACATGAAGGTATGCGTTTTTCACCGTCAGGTTGTTGCTGTGAGTGAGGCCTCTCTCATCTCACACAGTCGTCGATCGGACTCGAAGTCTGTAGATGAAGTTCATGAACCCATTGAGTTGTTGTCATTCCTTCATTTATAGAGAGAGAGAGACCCAAAACGTTCAAAAACCATTCACACCTTGGTGACACACATTCGGCTGACGACCCCTGTAGGCAGCGACCGTGGTTCCTTGTCGCTGGACGTGGGCGTTGACTGGCACAGCCAGAACGCGCTCGTCGCCGCGGTGGCCTTGGCTGCTGGTGCCAAGACGGCCGTCGTGGTGACCACGCCCGGGGCGGTGCTGCTGCCGTGGTCGAGGGAGGTGGCGGCCATTGTGTCGAACTTTATGCCCGGCCAGCAAGCAGGCCATGGAAAGCCACGGCCGTGGGCCAAAGTGAAGACATGATCAGATCCTGTTGGGTGGAGTGCAGTTGTTGAGTTGGTTGTGGTGTCCCCCAAAGAGACGGAGGCTGTGCAGACCAATGAGTCGGTGCTGGGAGGGCGTTGGTTCTGCTTGGCAAGGTCAAACACATTGACACGAATATCATGAGTCACAGTCATTTGGATGGAAAAGAGGTGTTCAGACCATCATGACAGACATTTTCAACATGTTTGACCATTTGACCTGTGAGCTGATGATAAGGAAGTAAAGGCAAAAACCTTCATACTGTGATTGCAGGTTTTCCTCCCTTGTTTGTAGCAGCTGCAAAGAAAGTATCTCGAAGAGTGCATCGGGACAAACTACTAAACTCTATACTATAGTTTTGATTGTTTCTCGACTGCTGCTTCAGTTGAACTAACTCTGGAGGGCAATGGTAATCAGTTAACTCTTGACTTAATATGAGTTAATTGTTTCCGAGTAGAATCACAATTTATAATACATCAGAGAGTCCCCATGGCAAAAGAATTGTACGCATATAACCTATACTTTTTCATTGTTTCAAAACTCTGGCCTTTATGGTGTTTCACTTAGTAACGTAGAGAGGCCCATCGTCGCAGGCAATGCGATTGCGGACATTTTGTTCGGCCACGTGAACCCATCTGGGAAGCTGCCTCTGACGTTTCCGAACCACGACAACGAGACAGACTTCTCTCCGGCGCAATATCCTGGACTCCCCAATCCAAGGGTTCCGTTTTACGCCTTCTACACCGAGAGGCTGCTCGTGGGATATCGCTACTACGAGCATCACAACATCAGCTTTACCACAGGTTTTCCCTTTGGACATGGCCTGTCATACACCAGCTTTGAGTACTCCCAGCTCGACATCCAAGGACACGGGTTGCCTGGTATTGGCTCCTAACACATCCAAACATCCTTCTAGAATGGTAGATGACCGCGCCGTCGCGCCGTACAGTTTTGTACAAGATTGGTACAACATGGTGCAACAAAGTCCCAGTACCGTTCTGTTCGTCATATCGTAGCTTCTGTTCAGGTATCTTGGAGTGACTGCAAAGGCGCCCCTGTTTGTTTCAATTTTCCTTTGGCATACAGGCGACCCAAATCGACCCTAATGGGTTTTCTGGTGTTTTCGGTATGGAATTGCACTGGAAGGGAGAAGCTGCAAAACCTGTGACCGGAGGAACCTTGGGCGGCATGAAGGTGAGCTTCCTCGTGCGAAACACGGGTTCTCTCCCAGGTTCCGAGGCGCGGACGCCGCGTCAAAGCCCATAGTTTGGCAGATTTCCGGACATGTGCGGCGTGTGCGGGTCGGAAGAAATGGAGTTTTTTTGTTTTGGAGTTTGGAGCACTGTACCACCTGATCTTTCGAGCCACATCCCAAATGTTGCCCAATCTGTATTGGGAAGCAAGCAGTTTGCCAGTTCCAGAGAGCGTGTTGCTGGATAGTGCACGAACCCTTTCCATGGATGATGCAAAACGTTGGCTTTTGCTGGCTCTTCTCCATGATTATTTGCTGGCCATTGCTGAAATGGATTCCCGCCGCACCCCAGAATCGCGCAGGTGGCGCAGCTCTATCTGTACTTCCCGGAGGCCGCCGGCGAGCCGCTGCAGCTGAAGGGCTTTCAGAAGACCTCCACGCTGGCGCCCGGAAGCGCTCAGGAGGTCTCCCTGCTCCTGCGGCCGCGCGAGCTGTCGATTTGGAACAATGGAGAGCATAGGCCGGGCCGATCCGGATGCTGCAGGTCCGTCTATCAGCTAAATACATGAGGTCAACCGATGTTGTTTCTCCTCCAAACCAGACTCATGTCTCAAATTGTATAATGCATTATAATGCCTAACAGGCCTAACATATACTGTCGTGGTTTTTGCATGCTTGCAATTCTGTTTGCTTACGATGTGTTTCTGGTTTGAACTTTGACTGGTCATGGGATGACTGGTGCTCTTGCTGTGGACCGCAGGTGGATGCCCGTGGATGGCCGATTCCAAGTGAGGATCGGGTCATCTTCCAGAGACATTCGCATCAAAGGTGAGTTTTTCTATGGGACGCAGGCCTTCGTGTAGCGTCCTGTCGAGTGTTCACCAAGACCTAATGAAGCTTCTCCCGCATTTGGCACGTGGAGAAAATCAAGTCCGGTCTTTGGCTGCTCTCTCCAAGTCTTGTTGGTTGTGTTGCTTCCGACCAGTGGCAGAGGTTGGCGTGCTGATGTTTACTGAGTCATTGGCTGAGTAGACTTGGGATATCGCTGATAATACTGAGTCATTGAACCAACAAGCTGAAAACGCTTGTCATGACTTGAGTAGACTGAGTAGACTGACATCCCTTCATCCCTTTTTCATGCCGATGCCTTCGGTTTCTTGACAACGCCCCAGGCGCCGGACTGTTGGACGTTTCTGTGGTTTTTTTCCTTCACCGTTGTTCTTCGTGGTCCTCCCGTTTGACCCCGGCCTCCCCAGCCCGGGGTCGAACATTCGATTGGGTTCGGCCAGGGACGGTTGAACTGGAGCTCCATTCAACACATCATACATGATGTGCCATGTGTATACATGTGTCATCTTGGTGCATGGCTATGGGTGAAACGATTCGAGTCCGCAGCTTGGCAGTTCTTCGGGGCGCCACTCGAAAGCCATGTTCCGTCAACGTCTGGTCAAGGTGAGTGCAGAGGCACGTGGAGCCTATGACGCAGAGACCGGCAGGAGCGGGGTCAGAGACGTGTTCGGTCTTGACGTTTGCAGGGCGCGCGGCGGGTGAACCCGAAAGGCAAATTTGCTGAGCCTCAACAAATGTGGAGTGGGGACTGGCCCCCGGACGGAAGACAAATTGTCCGAAAGGGTTTCTTCTTCTTTCATCTTCTTTCCAGGTTTGTTTTCGCTTCATGTTTGTCAGACGGAACATACTTAGAGATATATATATATATAAATACAGGATTATCTGGATTCACCCATATTGAAGCACAGGTTCTATTTCTTTATAGAACAAGCTCTGCCGAGTGAGCTGCAATTTGCAACCCTGAAGAGGATCGTGCAGAAGTTGGTGGCGCAGACAATGCAGACCTTCATTCGACGAAGTGAAGCCGCAGCGATGCAGCGGATGAATCATTGCTCACAGCAGGTCAACGTTGATGAACCTTGTCGAAGGCATGGTGGGGAAGCGCTTGTGGTCAAGGAATTCCAAGCAAAAATGGCTGAGCTGGGTTTTCCAGATGGAGTAGGTGATTCTTACGATGGTGGCTATGGATTCCTTTGCCTTGATTTGACTGCAAGCTGGGAGGATTCAAGCTGTGAGGATGCCATCCACCTGCAGCCGACCCTTCCCAAAGGCAGTTGCGTCACATGCCCCATTTGTCAAGATCATAGACCTGCAGTGGCATTGGTCCCTTGCGGCCACGTGGTGTGCAGAGATTGCCGCTGCCAGATCCGTCAATGTCCTTTTTGCCGTGAGCCCGTTCACTCATCCACTCGATGCCTCTTCTTGGATTGAAAGAACATTAAAGAAACGGTCTGCGCCAATGAGTCGTGGGCACGACACAGCATGGTGTTGGGCATGGCATTTGGGACGGCCAGCCTTAGCACTTGTGAAGCCCTCGGTTCATGGTCGGCGCGTGGAATGGTGTCGGTTCATCAATGATGATCACGATGCCCTGCATGTTTTTCCCCCGAGCTTCGGGTCTGAAATTTCGTTGATCTGATCTGCGAGACTGCTTGCCTTGTGGTCTTAGTAGATGATCTTAGACTTAACCTTGGCAACTCAGCCTGAAGGATTATTTTGCTTGAAGGCCCTAGCACACTCATAGAAATGCGATCAAAGACACGCCAAATTCGCACACGGACCTGGCCTGAGATTACTTGTGACTCAACTGCCACACCCTACCAGAGAACTGCACAAGAATCAGTATATAAATGAGTGGATCAATGACTTCCTGACCTTTGGGCTGTGGTTGCAAGGGTAGACTATGCAAACTTCAATATCAGTCGGCTCCACATCCGTGGATGCCCGCCTCACATAGCAGGGTGAAATGCCGAAAGAAGAGTCACCATTTCGCCAGCCAGTGAAAAGGCATCAGCTTTTTGTCCGCCGTGCAAGCACCAGAAGCTGCTTGCGGGAGGGGAAAAAGATGGGAAATACATTCGTATATGTACAGCTTAAGCATCTTTGGGCTGGAGATCTCGAGGCATTTTCGTGGATTGAGTACCCTCACACAAGAGAAATCAAGGGGACATTCTACCGCAAGGTGAGATGCAGTTCGGTTGGAGAGTCACCCAAATCGGCCTTAACCGGTCTCAAAGGCGGGTCAAGCTTCGACCTTTGGAGGGTACAACCATCGACCGGTGTCGGAATGGTTCGCTTGGCCCCTCGTCGATCAAATTGACCTCCATCGACCGACCATCGAGCATCGACCCATCATAGAACCTTGGCCCATCAAATGTAGAACCCTCATCGATCAACTTGACCTACTTATAGTGATGACCTGACTCATGACCGGACTCATGACGGGATACCTATCAAAAATAAAATTGATTCCTATCAAAAAAAACATTAATTCGTATCAAAAATAAAATTCCCCCTACTCCTTTGGTCCTGGTCTGCTGGTTCCTGGTCGCTTGGTCCTTTGGTCCCTTTGTCCTGGTCCCTTGGTCTCCTGGTCCCTTGGTCCCTCTGGTCCCTTGGTCCTCTGGTCCCTTGGTCCTCTGGTCCTTCGTCCTGGTCTTCGGGTCCTTGGGTCTGTACTTTCGAGGCAAGACGCGTTAAAGGTGATTTGGAAATCTGGTCATACATCCTGTGAAGCACCGTAGCAGACCCTCGCCAGACGTAGCAGACCTTTTTTAGCCACCCTGACGGTAAAATATAGACGAAAAAAGTGCCATTCCAAGGTAGCAAACCTTTTGTGAGCCACCTGAGGGCAAAATTTTGAAGAGGAAGGAACCATTCCAACGTTACAGACCTTTTGTTAGCCTTGCGAGGTTAAAACTTAGAGGAAGAAGTTGCCATTCCAAGGTAGGAGGCCTTTGTTTTGTCAGCAACCCGAGAGTAGAACTTGCTATTCCAACGTAGCAGACCTTTTGTGAGCCACCCGGGGGTAAACTTTAGGTGCCACGCCTAGGTAGCAGACCTTTTGTGAGCAAAATTTAGAGGAGCAGTAGACCTTTTGTGAGCCATGCGAGGGCAACATTTACAGGAGCAGACCTGTTGTCAGCATAAACTTTAGAGGAGGAAGGTGCCATTCCAACATAGCAGACCTTTTGTGAGCCATCCACAGGTCCTGTGGTCTTGTGAGCCATCGTGAAATTCAGAGCTACAAAGATCCAGAGGCCTGGAGATCCAGACGGATCTGCAGGTGTAGAGGTCTAGAAACCCGCAGACCTAAAGATGGAAGTTTAGAGGTCTTGAGTCTTGAGATCCAGGGAGGTGTTGAAATCTAAGTTCTAGGGGTCTATACTTGCAGAGGGTGTAGAAAGATGTTCAGATCCAGGTCTTGCCACGCAAGCTGCACTGCAAGGTTCGCAATCGCTGCGCTTGCCACAAAGTCTGCGCTTGTAGACAGAGGTTGACGCAATCTGCACTTCGAGGTTCACGAAGTGCTGCGCCTGCCATGAAGTCTGCAGTTCCAGTGCACAAAGTGCTGCGCCTGCCATGAGCCCTGCAACTGAAGGTGCTCAAAGTGCTGCGCCTGCCACGAGCCCTGCAACTGAAGGTGCTCAAAGTGCTGCGTACAAAGTGCCGCTTCTGCCACGAAACTTGCTACTGGAGGTGCTCAAAGTGCTGTGCCTGCCACGAAATCTGCACTTTCAATGCACAAAGTGCCGCTCCTGCCACGAAACCTAGTACTGGAGGTGCTCAAAGTGCTGCGCCTGCCACGAAATCTGCAGTTCTAGTGCACAAAGTGCCGCTCCTGCCACGAAATCTGCTACTGGAGGTGCTCAAAGCGCCCGCCACGAAATCTTCAGTGCCAGTGCGCAAAGTGCTGCTCCTGCCACGAAATCTGCTACTGGAGATGCTCAAAGTGCTGCGCGCGCCACGAAATCTGCGCATCCAGATTAGGCGGTTTGCAATGGCAGGTGCAGCTCTTTGCGAGAGATACAAATTAATTTTCTTCTTGATAGGATATAGAAGTTTTCTTTTTGATATATATATATATATTTTTCTTTTCTTTTTGATAGCCCGGCCACTCATGACCTCATGGGGAATGACCGAAGGACCGGACGCTTTGTGCGACGATGTTCCGTTGCGATGGGCTTCGATCTCGGCCAGAGCCGCGAGGCGAGAGGCGACGAGCGAGGCGAGAGACGACGAGGGTTTGGGTGCCAGAAGACGAGAACCCATGTCCAGTAGTCATTGGAGTCATTGGTAGTTTAGCCAATGTCCAGCCGGTCTAAGGAGGGGTCACCGTTTTGGAGACTCCAAGAGTTTGCAGGGGAGGACACGCTTGTAGCCCGGTATCAAGGGCAATTAATGGTAATTATTTCGGTTTCGAAAAGCTTTGTTACTGCCAAGCGGCTTTGTGAGCCAACCTCTTTCCCTTCATGATGGCTTTGCCTCGGATTCTATTCCTGAATCTCAATAAAGGCGGAAGTCTTCTAGCTTTGAACCATTTGCAAGATTCTTCTGAATATGTACGTAATATAATATATTCACATGATTCTGACTCATGACTAATTTATGATTCTCTAGATGCGGAGGAGAGCCCAAATCGTCTACCTTTGTTGTAGAGAAAATACGTGAACACAGGCTTAACTCATTAGTTGTGGGATCGATACAGGCTAACCTCTGAGCTCCTTGACTTTTGTGATTTTTCATCTCACTGTGTTCATGTACTGTTACAGCTGTTACCTACACATTTATCCCAATAGAGCTATTATGTCAAAACCTCATAATGCTCATACATTGATGATGATGTGATGTATGTGGGCCTTTTTGGGTATGTAACAAAGCAGATTTCCATGACAGCGGATTTGACCCAACTCATTTGATAATATCAAGGGTCACTCACACATATGACTCAAAGGTGATGATGATTCATGTGGACCGTGGTTTACCGAATTGTGAGTAAGGTACCTGCAGATTTCTTGTGGAAGCTAGATGGCAGTCCATGATATTCGATGACTATCCACTATTTAAAGTTTTTACTATTTGTTTTTGTTTGTTATATGTCCTAGTCCTATTGATGTGAACATGTCCCGGTTTTTTGACCCCTAAAGTTGGTCATCCAGCTCTTCGTCACCAGTTTCCCAGCGGATCAGGCCTTTGCTCTTCGACCTTGGAACCAGGTGGGATTTTTGGAGTGACGCTATGAGCCTTTTTGGGCAGATGATTGTGCAGTCTCATCACGATCTAATGAAAGGGAGGGAACTTTCTGTCAAGTAACTTGATTCATTTTGGTGTCGATGGTTGTGTAGGTGGTATAACTTGATAGGAACACCTCAGAAACATCCTCAATTAGGATCCGATTCAAAAATATCCGGCAGCTGACACATTGTGGTCTACTTTACAACCGACATAACGGATTCTTGATGCGGTATGGGTTGGTCGACCAGGTGCGCTTTGACAATGCCAAGATCACCATCCAGGGCGACAAGGCTCAGGCAGATGCTGTGGCCGTGGGTCTGACGAAGATGAGATCCTGCACTTAATTACTCCTATCACACTTTGCTTTATACCATTCCAGTTTTGTTTATATTTTGACTTCGGAGCCCAAAACTTTGGATTGCTTGATGCTTTTTTTCTTGGATCATGTTTCAGTTTTAGCATGGGTCTCTCAGCGCAGGCTTTGGGTTCGAACCTAAGACTTTGGAAAACTTGATTGCACTCGTTGCATATTGACATATCTTGAAACTTGATGTCATTGATTCCTGGTACCTATACTGCAGATGAACTCTTATTTTTTGCTTTTACGACTTACTGACAACGTCTTTTGCAAGATTGGAAGCACCAAAGTCAGTAGAGTTGAGGTTTGAAAGGTTGTGAAAGGTTGATCATTGGGCCCTATCGCAGCTGTTGTGGCCAGTGTTAATTACGTTTGCACACTGAAGAACTCGAACGATTGCTTCCGTCATGGATCGGGGTGAACAGGCGGGGATGTGTCGGCATGTTTGAGTTTTTTGTATACAATATATACGGTATAGATGTTACATACAAGCAGATATTTGTCATGTTGAGTAGCAATATAACATAGCCACCATTAATCATTATCCATCCGAATCCGTCCCATGGATTTTAGGGTTACCATTTTTGACCCAGCCACAGGTGAAGGACATCCAAGAAGCCGCGCAGAAGACGCGAGAAGATCACCTACGGGCCCAAGAAGAACGACGCCAGTTGGTTCAACGAGGCAGTCGTGATGCCAAAATGAAGACGCAGCTGGACCTGGCCTGCAAACGTGCGAAGAAGGTCAAGACAGTGGACCTTTGCTTTGTGGTGGACTTGACTGCCTCCATGCAATTTTGGTTGCAAAGCTTGATTGAAAAGATGGAAGATATCATTCAAGACAACCTGCAACGCATGGGTGACTTTGCACGGGTGAGAGTGGCCTTTGTTGGCTACAGGGATTATGATGATGACAGTCGTTATGTGGTTCATGCCTTCACCACAGACGTGAGTCAAATTAAGAGCTTCATGAAGGGCTTGGAGGCTGACGGTGGTGGTGACCAGTGCGAGGATGTGTTGACTGGCTTGGAGGAGGCGGTGAAGTTGGAGTGGGCATCCACTGCCAGGGTCTTGTACTTGCTGAGCCAGACTCCTCATCATGGTTGGAGGTTTCAACAAGACTTCGAGGTTAGCGCAGATCCAGAGGCCATCCAGAATGCTGTGAATAGTTTCGCAGGAGTAGTTGACCCAGCCCGAGCTCAGAAGTGGTTGAGCACGCGGCTCTATGACCTGTATCCGGAAGATCCACGACAGTGGGGGCCCATGGATTCGGCTCTTCAGGACTTAATCCCAAACCCAGTCGCGCTCAAATGTTTCACTAGAAGCAAGACATGCCGTGAGATTGCCAAGCCGGCAGTTTTGAAACACTGATGACTCCATGATGCACATGACATACCTTCGCATCCTCGTGTACAATTCAGCATGTTTGTGTTGGAGTACGGGCAGCCCAGCGTAATCCATTGGTGTATACTAGTACTGCACACGTGTATGTCTCATTACTATGACAAAGATGGTGCTTCATTCCATGACACGGGTTTCTTGTGATTGAATTTGTGCGTTCGGCTGTGAAACCCAAAAATCTTTGACAGACGAGCTATCTAGGAAGACAATGTAATCGTTGCAGTTGCAGTTGCAGTTGTTGATGTCGTTGTCGTTGTCGTTGTCGTTGTCGTTGTCGTCGTCGTGGTCGTCGTTGTCGTCGTCGTGGTCGTCGTTGTCGTCGTCGTCGTCGTCGTCGGTGGTTGGTGGTTGGTGGTTGGTGGTTGTTGGTTGTTGGTTGTTGGTTGTGGTTGCGGTTGTGGTTGCGGTTGTGGTTGTTGTGGTTGTTGTGGTTGTTGTGGTTGTTGTGGTTGTTGTTGTTGTTGGTTGTTGTTGTTGTGGTTGTTGTTGTTGTGGTTGTGGTTGTTGTTGTTGTGGTTGTTGTTGTTGTTGTTTGTTGTTGTTTGTTGTTGTTTGTTGTTGTTTGTTGT